CCAGGTGCCTTTCGTCACGGCAGTAGGGCCCAACCCAGTGCTAGTCCCAAGAGTTACCATGGATACGCCCAAGGGAGCCCCTCCCTCTCCTCCTCCTGGCCCAACTCTACCTACAGGATTTACCAAAAGGCCTCCTAAGCCTTTGTCTCAGATCCGCTATTACAGGCGGTCACAGGAATTTGTTAAAATCATAAATCAAACTTATAGCCTCTTAAATGTAACTAGCCCTGAATTGGCCAGATCTTATTGTCTCTGCTATACTGTTACCCCTCCCTATTTAGAGGGGATTGCTACTATGGGTTCCTACAACGTTTCCCATAATGTCTCCCAATGTGCATGGGGTACGATACCTAAAATTACTTTGGAGCAGATTTCAGGATCGGGACTATGCCTCGGTGAGATTCCACTACAATACTCTTCCCTCTGTAACCAGACCAAGAATCTCTCTGAGTCAAGAGGGGCCTTCCTTATTCCCCCTCCAAATACTTGGTGGGCATGCTCCTCAGGATTAACCCCTTGTATTTCGGTGGATGTTCTTAAGGAAGGAGGTTTTTGTGTTCTTACAATTCTTCTTCCCCATTTGGTTTATCACTCAGAGGAAGAGTTTCTGCAGACTTACACTCCCTCTCTTCCTTTCCCGATGCGTTCTAGGAGAACCCCAGTGCTTTTAGCCGTGACACTTGCAACCTTAATTAGTACAGGTGTAGCAGCAGGAGTTGGCACTGGAGCCACTGCCCTGATACAAGGGAGGGACCAATATAATGCTTTGCGCACTAGCCTGGATTTAGATCTACAAAGAATAGAAGAATCCATATCCAAACTACAGGACTCTATAGGATCCCTGGCTGAAATCATGTTATAGAATCACAGAGGGCTGGACCTCCTGTTTCTACAACAAGGGGGACTGTGTATTGCCCTGAAGGAGGAATGTTGTTTTTACAGAGACCATTCAGGTATAATAAAGGATAACATGGCAAAGATACGAGAGGGATTAGAGAAACAAAAGATGGAAAGGGAAGCCAGCCAAAGATGGTTCAGCTCTTGGCTTAATCAAACTCCTTGGGTGTCAACCCTTCTCTCCACTGTTGTAGGGCCCTTGATTATCCTCCTCTTGCTTGTCACGATTGGGCCCTGTATAGTAAACAAACTGCTGAGGTTTGTCCAAGAAAGAAAGACTCGGTTCATCTCCTGGTGCTGCGGCAGAAGCACCAGGTTGTAGAGTCGGCTGAGGAAGATTCCTCAGTTTAACCAAGACAAGGGGGGGATGTTGGGAAAAAAAATGAAATACCTTGATGAATGCTGTAAGAACTCTGCATTTTGATAGAAAACTCTGTTTAAAATGTTGATTTAGATTTACTTGCTAAGCTTGCCTGTTCTGCCTGATTGTATCTACCACACATGGATGATTAACCTAGTTGAAATGCTAAGAACTGAAGTGCTGTAAACCTCCTTCCTGGACCCTGGACCCCAGACTCAGTTGATTTACAATGTGTCCTGTAGGCCTGTTTGCACATACCAGATAACCGATAAGGAACAAAGAGAGGGAAGTTGCACCAGGCTTACACCAGATCTACCCTTCCTGGAAAAGATGTTTAACCGAAACTATAGCTTTTAGAAGATGTTTGATCAAAGTGTCTGCTGAGGAATGCTTTTTGTGTAATGACTATGTGGGCCTATATAATCTGTACCTGAAACTGAATGGGGGTCGATCGTTCTGACCAGACTTGCATGTCTTGGGAAGCCGGTCGACCCCAGCTAGCTGGAAAGTAAAGACTCTGCTTGATTTTTACATCTCCAATCCCATGTATTTGTTATCTAGAGGGGACCCATCGAGTCACGGACCCTAACATTTCCTAAATGCACTACCAAGGCTCTGTATGATTCCAACTTTCATGAATTAGAAATTAAAAAGAAGTACCAAAAAGAGCATTAACAAAAAACATTGGCTACATTGATAGAAAGATAGATACTACAAATTTTCAGAATGAACCAAGTGTACGTGCACTTCCACTGGACAATTGATCAAGAATACTTTATTAGTATTACTTAATTTAAAGTACCTATATTTGTTGTGTTGTACATGAATTTATCCACTATGTTAGTTAACAGATCTAATGTTACTTGACACCCAAATGCAAGCAAATTAAAGTCAATCACCCTTGATCATAATCTCAGCTAACTATATTTATTAAGGAGTTTGGGTCAGCTCTCAATTGCTACTGAACTCAATTTCTTCACATGTAAATTAAGACAGATACTACTTAAAAATAACTAAATTTTAAGATAAGCTTTACTCATGGTTATTGTGAAAATAGATATAAAGATTGCTTCATGAAACTATAATTTATCAAAAAAGTTATGCACTTAGAGAGAAACTATTCCTTTTTTTTTCACAAAGTATATATCAAAAGAATGACCTTATCTGACTGTTGTTTTTCTTCTACTTAATTGCATTAGTTACTTTTCTGTCCTGTGTTAAAAATATCATGACCAAGGACAAGTTATAGAAGAAAGAGTTTATTTTGTTTTACAGTTCTAGTCAAATGAATACACCATGGCAGGGAGGCATGGTATCAGCAGTCAGAAGTGGGGAGATCATGTCTTCGAACCCAAACATGAAGCAGACAGAGTGAATGGAAAATGGGATAGGCTATGAGTTTTCAAAGCCAGCCCCAAATGACATGCTTCCTCCATCAGGACTGTACCTCCTAAACCTCCCCAAACAGTGCCACTAACTGGGGACCAAGTGTTCAAATGCGCAAACTTATGTGGGACATCCTCATTCAAATCAACACAGTAATTTATTAAGAATTTCTTTAACAGAATATTATAAAGCAAAATAATTATAAGTTTCAGTCTAAAATGAATACTAACAGTTAATTTAACTTTGCTTAAGAATAGGTTCTTCGGGGCTGAGGAGATGGTTCAGCGGTTAACACTGGTTGTTCTTGCAGAAAACCCCAGCACCCACATTGCAGGTAACAACTGTCCATAACTCCAGTCCCAAGGGATCCAACAGCCTCTTCTGACCTCTGTGAGCATTGCACAACATGTACTTACCTACATATAGGCAATACACACATACACATAAAAAAATAAATAAAAAAATAATAATAGGTTCTTCAAAACTTACCAGGACTGTTGAAGTTCAGATCAGGTACCATGTTAAAGCAACATACATCCTTACATCTATATCTACTAGGTGAAATCTATATAATAGTTTGACACTATCTTTTACTCTCTTACCAGCCGTTTGTGACCCCAGCAAGAGGGTCCCACTGTTCCATCTTTAGGCAAAAACAGGAAGGCTAAATGGGGCAGGGGTGGGGAGGCTTGCTTCAAAAAATGACCTCTGCTAGAAATTAATTGCACTTCACTTTTTAATATATTTTAATTTACTGACCAAAGTTTTAAAAACTTTGTATGATAAGACATACATATTTTGTATTATCTGCTAAAATATTATTAGCTTTGCTTGTCTTAAATACAGAAGAAAAGTTTAAAACCATAAGCATTTTATGTTCATATGTTATTGTTGTCTATTGAAAGATAAATATGAAATAGTTAATCCTATTTTTTTTTTTTTAGACAAACTTAAGCTTTATTAGGGGAAGGGTGGTAGAGGAGGCTTCTGTGTTGAACAGATTACATTACAGAGCTGTGAAGCCTGGGCATGACAGAGCTGGAGGAAGGGGCCTTTCAGAAGGATCTTGGCCAGTATGTCTACACCCGTGGGTGAAGAACAAGAGTACCCATCTCAAAAGCGGCCATGCCGGTGGTCTGGGGAACGCCGTCGGTTCCTTTCTCGGGGATGGTGGCCTGTATGGAACCTTTTGGGTGACCTGTGTCTGGTTCCCCTTCCATAGAGCTGCCAACGGAGATTCCTGGATATGGGTCGCAGGTGCATGAAGTTGCAGAAGCCACCTCTGGTGCACTCCCCCATCTCATACTGCCGGCAGCATGACTCCCGGAAGTCAGTGACAGGAGACAGCTCAGCGTGCACAGCCTGTCCGTGGAACCAACGGTTATTGAGTTCAGCCACAGCCCGCTCTGCATCCTCCTCTCGTCGGAACTCAAAGAAGTTATCATAGTGTTCCTGCACCTCCACGTCGCTCACGTGACAATGTGATCCATCGGGGGTTTGGGCCATATTCTGTGGATTCCGGTACAGGTTGAGCAGCACTATGGTCTGAACAAAATTTAAAAAGGACCTGAGCTGCATGCAGAGTGGCTATGAGGTTGGAGAGTAAGGTATGAACCAGAGGTGCATAAGTTTATCACTAATGCTTGTCCTTAAGAAAGTACCAGGCTAGGCTGGGCATTGTGGCGCACACCTTTAATCCCAGCCCTTGGGAGGCAGACGCAGGCATATTTCTCTGAGTTCGAGGCCAGCCTGGTCTAGACGTGAGTTCCAGGTCAGCTGGAGCTACAGGGAGACCTTGTCTCAAAAAAAATTAAAAAGAGGGGGAAAAAAAAGAGCTAGGACATCCACAGCTGGGGTGCCACATGCTTTGCAAGCCGGGAGTGATGGCATATGCCTGTAGTCCCAGCATTTGGGAGGCAGAGGCAGGAGGATCTTTGTGAGCTCAAGGCCAGCCTGGTCATATAGTTCCAGGCCACCTGGGGCCAGAGAGGAGAGACAGAGGCAGACAGAGAGACAGAGAGACAGAGAGAGAGGAGAGGGGGAGAGAGGGAGGGAGAGGGGGGGAGAGGGAGGGACGGAGGGGGAGAGGGAGAGACAGGGAGGGAGGGAGGGAGACAATCCTATTATTTTATACTATGTTTTACACTAGGATCTTTTATTATTTTTTATTTTTAAATTATTAAATTGTGTGTGTGTGCACTTGCCGATGTAAGAGCAGATGCCTATAATATCCAGGTGACGATTTCAGATCCCTAGCAGCTGGAGTTATGGTGATTCTAAGCCACCTCATGTGAGTGCCTGGAACTGAGCTCAGATCCTCTGGAAGAGCAGCAAGCATTCTTAACTTCTGAATCAGCTCTCTAGCTCCTAGGATTCTTTATTACCATTTACTTTAATCATGTCTTCCTGACCCCAGGAAAACATACATAATCCATTTTCATTGGTCAAATGCATTGGAGTATTGAAGAAGCTTAGTATGTCTCTGTATGTATCTATCAGATCTATGATAGATAGATAAATAGGTAGATGATAGATAGATAGATGATAGATAGATAGACAGAGATATGTATATATAATTTTCACCTGGAGTATAGGATTATGAGGCAACAAATTAAGAAATAAGCCTACTTGATATGAGGAGTAAGTATGGGGTCTGTAGCTCTACTTCACTGATGGTGTTTTTCAAGGGAGACTGATGAATTTTCTTTATAAGTATTTCATATATGGAAGTTTTGCCCACTTTATGAATGTGATAATGACAATGACCTTGCTTCATTTTCAAAGAAAGAAAGAAAACAGAAAAGGCACAACTTCTTAAAAGCCTTATCCTGGAAATTTCACAGAACACGTTTTTCCATGGCACAAACACAACTGCAAATAGTACTATGTGACAAGGAAAAAGAAATTACATCTGGATTATGTTGAGTAAGAGCCCAGCACACTCTGATCATGTTTATGGAAGTTAATGATTATTCCAAAGAAGAGCAAAGAACTTCAGCAGGACCAAATCCAGGTTCCTTGATTTTGCAGTGATGAAGTTTGTATTGTGAAAACTTATTCAGACAGGATGATCAGAGAAACGATATCACACTGGGTCTGGTATCAAAATGTCTCAGTATAGTATATATATGTTATCATATGAAGAACTGGAACTTACTTTATGAATAATTATTAGCATGTCCTAATATTATATAACAATATTGAGAAATTAGTTGAATATATATATATACTATATTAATAGCTTATTGCACACTACCTTGAATAGGTTTCTATTTTTACATATTCTTATTATCTTATTTATAATGGAAAATTACATGATCAAACAATTACTATCTAAAGACTAATGAAATGTACTCAAAAGTATATGATTTAGAAAATAAACTAGAGATAGTGTATTGTAAAATCATAAGCATTAATGATCATGTGTTATTTTAGGATGCTGAAAGATAAATATACAATAATATTATATATTTTATTAGAATTCTTAAGTCTATTTAAAAAATTGTGTGTGTGTGTGTTTGTATCTACATATGATTAGAGATATTTTTTGTTTAGTACAGGACTTGCCTGTAATACTTGAGGAGATAGATTCAATCACAAGTAAACAAAAGGTGATAATACAATCCATTAATACATAATAATAATAGTATTTTCATTTTTCAGTAAAACCTTATGTCAAATGATTAGTCAGGCACTGCAACTTTAGTTTCCTTGTCTTGTGCATTAAGCTCCCATTTGTTACATCTGTTTGCTTTAGTTTTTTTACTTCAAATGGATGGTAAAGACAAGAGTAACTACAGATAAGGCAGAGAGGGTGGGGGAAAATATGATGAATTGTTACATTATTTTTACTAGTTAATCTTGCTGGCAATTACATTGATTTATGTCTTCTTTTTAAAAGGTTCAAATTACACTATAATAATCTTCTTGGAAGGTTAAGCTTTTAGTGAGGAGTCATTTAAAAACAAATATTTATACAGCTTTTACTGTGTATAAATGTAAAATATAATAACATTTACAGTCTTAAAATGATTTGTTATTGAAATTCTAAGCAAAATATTAAGATATCCTGATATAATACCCTAGTTTAATAACATAGCTGATAATCTTGAGGCAAACCTTTTTTAAAATTTTTTAATAACATAATCAATCACACATCTAAAAGCTGTCTTGCAGTTAATATATAAAACAAATGTCCAGTTATTTTAGCTTTAGTATTAACATTAACTACACTTTACTAACAATTTTATTTACTATCATTAATTAATTCACTTAATTAATTGTGTGGTATAATGAGAACTGAAAAAAAAATCTTAGTTTTCTAGATAGTTCCAAGAGACTGTGAAAAATTACAGCTTTGCAATACATAGTGATTAGCCTATCCTGAGATCACCAATGAGATTAATGTGATACTGACCAATTGAAAATAGTGTGGAATGCAACTTCCAGGACTGACAAGGAAATGAATCGATCAAAAATTTGTACCGTTCTTGCACTTCTTTCTGTTTTATGAAACACAGACAAAAACCTGTAGAAGGAGGACTCACATAATTAGGCCATGGGACTGGCATATGGTGCTAAGCCCACCCCTTCCATCTAGGGTGTGAGAAAAATAACTTCATTATTCACTTAACTCTCTCACCAGCAGGTAAAATAATTCATCAGAAATGAATGCATTTTATATATAATAGCAATATTTTACCAAGTACTTATGCCTTAATGGTTGAAATATTGAATGAAAGCTATACTAAATAAGTGTTGTAAGTACTGCAAGTAATTAGAAATTGCTTTTGCCAACAACCAGTGAATACTAATGGGACCCCCCAAGGCAAGTCAAAGAAAGACAAAACCCTAGCATCTCTTTCTTCACTTTGAATCTGTCTTCTGAACTAAACAGACATGCTTAAATCTATATACAGGCATGTTAATCATTCCAGGTGTTTCTTGCTAAAATCTGGTGATTTCTAATCTACCACTCTCCCTTCAAGATTTAAGGCACCAAGAAAACAGTAAATGAGGTATCATTCTGTCAGCCTTTACAATGATTTTTTTCTTGCCCCTGAACATTAAATTGGTAATTTACACCTTCTGTTTAAACATGTTGAAAGCAGACTCTAGGAGTGTGGAGGCCTTCCCGTGTCTCCTTGAAAACTTCCTGTTCTGAGGTAGGCTGCCCCCCCCCCAACTCTGTAACAAGTAGAAGGGAAAAGAACAGCATCTAAGGACATTCATTCCAAAGTTGAGTTCTTGAGAACTAGAAGCTGCTGTTACTGTATCATCTCTGGGGAATGTTACAATGTGCAAAACTCACTTGTCAGATTAAACATCTATTGACAACCTGTGCTTATCTAAATAAAAGTATCAATGTGTAAAAATAAAACAAAAATAATCCCATAGTCCAACAGATGATTTTATCTGCAAGAGGATTTAGGTGGTATTCATTTGGATAAGCATAGAAAACTAATCTTTGCCTTTACATCCTCTGAAATGCTCACATATCAATCATGATGAGCCACTTCAATAAAGTTCAGCAATGCTATCTATTATGGTAGACACTAGGTGATCAGTGGTCAGTTTCAGGTTTAAATCTGCAACATAAAAATGCTGAAATTCAGTTCTTCAGTCATTTTAACTACATTTCAAATGGTATACTGCTAGTGACTATAATGTATTAAACAGCAAACATAGAAAGACTTTCTAGTGGATGCAGTGAATGGCTTTGATGAGGATTAGTTTGCACACAGGATAGGAAACCAGGCAGAAATGAACTGAGTCATCCAGCAGAAATAAAATATTCTCTAACTGGTTAATTTCCCCAAGCCTCAATTTATTTTTCAGTAAAATATGCATAGTATAGCTACGAAATGAGTTTTTTGTAAATCAAAAGTGAAAAAGAAAATTCTTAGGACAAACTCTGGTAGTCAAAAAAATCTATTAATGAAAATTAGCTGCCAGTATTAAAATCATAATAACTACTTTGTTTATATGTAAATCTACAGCTTTAAATGACGTTTTTAGGAACTAGTTTGTCAAAATTCCTGCATCTCCATCTTTGCTTTCACCTGAAATCGCTGACATATTTATTCCTTTGACACATAGTT